TATTTATTTTTTTTTTCAGGATAACTAATTATCGTTTGCTAATTATTTTCTAGGTGTGTTTCTGAATTTTCACACTTCCATATTTTGTGCAATTTTATATACCGGGTGTCTACGAGATCAGTTTCGCGCTGGCATTTGCTGTTTTTTTTTTTCGATTGCAAAGATTTTTGGTATAGAGTGTAGGTTTGAGAAATGTCATATTTTGACATGTGTGTCAATGTTTGGTAATTTCCGGTTTGACCGGAAATGGTCCTAACTCCGTAATTTTGAATGGCATCCCAATAATTTTTTCGCATTTTTGGTATCTGCGGATCCTGATGTGTACGAAAACGTCAAATTTGAACATTTTTGAAGAAATTTTAGAACTCTGGATGAAAATCTATTTTTGAACAGAAAGTGACGGAGAGGTCTTAAAATTGTTATTTTCAACCCACACAATCGTAGAAAAATGCGAGTGCCAAGATGTTATCCTTTGCTTGCTCTCCAAAGGCATCCAAAGTTGAAAAAATCTCATTTTGCGTGATAACTCAATGAAATCAGTGAAATCACCCAACTTTCACCACAAGAGTTTTTTACCTTTTTCAAAATAAAACCAACTATGCATTGAAACTTTTCATTTATGTTAGTTTTTAATTATTTTCTTATTATTTTTATAATGCGCTACTATAAATGATAAAACTACTTATAAATGAACCCCTGTAGCTAATGTTTTTTTTTTCTTGACAAGCCATTGACAAGATCTGTGAGCAAGATAAGTTTATTTGTCATTGTTTGACATCTTGGGAATTTGTAAATACAAAGTTTGAATACAGAGGTTTATTTATAAGTAGTTTTATCAGTTATAGTAATGCATAGTAAAAATATTGGAAAAATTATTAAAAACTGGCATGAATAAAAAGTTTTAATGCATAGTTGGTTTTATTTTGAAAAAGGTAAAAAACATTTGTTATGAAAGTCGGGTGATTTCACTGATTCCATTGAGTTATCACGTAAAATGTGATTTTTTCAGCTTTGGAAGCCTTTGGAGAACAAGCATAGGACAATAACTTGGCATTCGCATTTTTCTACGATTGTGTTGGTTGAAATTAACAATTTTAAGACCGCTCCGTCACTTCCTGTTCAAAAATAAATTTCCATCCAGAGTTCTGAAATTTCTTCAAAAATGTTCAAATTTGACGTTTTCGTACACATCATGATCCGCAGATACCAAAAATGTGAAAAAAATATTGGGATGCCATTCAAAATTACGGAGTTAGAACCATTTCCGGTCAAACCGGAAGTTACCAAACATTGACACACATGTCAAAAGATGACATTTCTCAAACCTACACTCCATACCAAAAATCTTTGCCATTGAAAAAAAACCCAGCAAATGCCAGCGCGAAACTAATCTCGTAGACACCCGGTATATATTTTTTTAAATTCAGTGGCTATCAACCCACACCTAATTTTTTTTTTTCGCTGAGCTAACTGAGCATATTATAGACCCCTAATTAATTTATTAACAAAAGGGGTTACACCCAACAAATAGTCCTCAAACCACCTGAGCACGGTGTGTTGCAGCTCATATCTTTTTGATTTTTCGAGAAAGTGTAGGGCCAATTGTTTCGAAGGCTCTACGGAAGTCCAAGAAAACTGCTGCGAAACTTTTTTTCTTGTTCAGTGCACTCTTCTAGACTATCAGCACACTCTGCAAAGCAGTCTCACATGAGTTGTTTTTACGAAACCGTGCCTGATACTAAAAAGTTAAATTTTTTCAAGTCTATAAATTGCTCATCAACTACAGTCTCCATTAACTTTTCATATGTAGGTACCATATTTCTGGGTCGAAATTCTTCGAATTTTTCTGTGTTTGCTTTTTTTTCTATGGTAACAACTGTTGTTTTCTGCCAACATGAGGCTGAGATTTACCTCACGCAAAAATCTATCACCTGTGACCTCAAATGCCTTTGCTAATATGTTTGTTGTCACTCCATCTACACTGCTATTCTTCTGCTTAAGATTTTCCACTATATTTATTAGTTCAGATAATGAGGGCAATTTAAATTCTGAGCTATTCAATGTTTTCTTCCGCAATATCTTCTTCAACAATTTGGAAAGTTATTGATTCGATACTTTTTTTTATTTATTTTTTATTTATTTATTTATTTATTGTTTAATACACAACAAAGCAAACTCCCAATGGTATTTTATGTATACCTACTTATATCTATTAAAAACTTTAAAAAAAAATAAAATAAAAATTTGCTACATATATGATCACAACAATTATTAATACAAGGCATACAAGGCAAGTCAAAGAAAATAGCTATTTTGCTAACGAGAGCGAAGAGCCCGAGTGCCGGAAATTTCTTCCCGCAAGAGTTAGGAACTATATTTTTTCTACGAGCATACTAAAGCTGATGTTACGAGAAGTTTAATTTAAATAAAATGCGATTGTGCAGAAGGTAGAATTAAAAATGTATTGAAAGGTATTTATAAAAAAAAGGTAAAGGTATTAAAGGTAAAGGTATAGGTGTATCAACAATACAAACAATTCTGTCACAATAATTATTTCAAACTCTTCCCGCACAGAGTGCGGGAAGAAATCTCTTCCCGCACTGGTGCGGGAAGAAAGTCTTCCCGCACAGCGAATCTTGCGGGAAGAGCCATTTCCCGCTCGGTCGTAGAAAAATAAATAAACACGAAGGTATACGAATGTTTGTAAGTGCCAAAAGTTCCGGGCAGTTCACATTATTAGTATTTTGAACTTGAACATGAGTGTCAGGAATGTCCTACGCATCTCTAAGCTATCGATATTCAGCAGTTGCAAACGATCTTGGGGTGAAAATTGACTTTTGTCAATTTCAAGTCTGTATAGCAGGAAGTTGACAAATTTCCTTTGAACACGTTCCATACACTTAATATGGGTTTGGTAATATGGCGACCAAGCTACGCAGCAATACTCGAGGTGACTTCGCACCAATGAAAAATACAGAGACTTCAGTACCTCGATATTGGAAAATTCTCCACACCTACGCATTAAAAAGCCTGCGATTTGGAAAGCTTTTGCTAAGAAAAAATTTATATGATTGCTAAATCTTAATTTAGTGTCAAAAACTAGTCCCAAATCGTTAATTTTTAAATCGATCTTCTTGGCTTCGTGGAGTAATTTTTTCGGAATAACTACTAAGTCTGTTTCGTTCTGGGCGAATATTACGATATCATCAGTAAATCTCAAATTATTGAGGTTTTCTCCAGATATATTGATCTTTCTATTTTTCCAATGTAGTTCCTTAATTGAACACATCTTCGAGGACTAGGGACTATAGTGAATAACTTACTTAACTTAACACCTCTTCTGATCTTTACTTCGTTTGAGTGTTCATGCATTCTTAATTTTATTTTTGTTGCTTTTCGAATATTTTTGATTATCTTTATATATCGCTGATCTATTCATGCATAGCTCTTTCTATCCCCCAGAATTTGATAGTATCGAAGACTTTCCTAAAATCGATGAATGCTAGCCATGATGTAATGTTATATTCGGTCGCCTCTTCATTTAGTATTCTTATTGTGTGAAGATGTTCTATAGTGCTGTAGCTCTTTCTATAGGCTGCTTGTTCTTTGGATTGGTAATCATCGAATTTGCTTTCTAGGTGGTTGGTGATTATTTTGAAAAACAGTTTGTATATCCAAGACAGGAGGCTTATGGTCTATAGTTTTCAAGATTTGATGGGTCACCATCTTGTATATTAGAACCACGATGGTCCCAGTCCTGTGGTATTTCCCCCTCTGTTAGACATTTATTGAAATGTGCTTTTAGTTGTTTCACAAGGTATTCTCCTGCCTCCTTCAGCATTTCTGGTAGTGTATCGTCCGTTCCTGGGCCTTTTCCGGTGTTTAATTGGCTTAGCGCTTTTGAAATTTCTCCCTCTCCTATATCAGGGATGCCTTCTGATGTTTCACTTTCGGTTTATTGTTTGTTATTTTCGTTGTTGCTTTTTGCGTCGTGGGTATAGTTTCTTATAGAAATTTTCTGTCACACGCAATATTCCATCTCTGTCTTCTATAATTTTTTCTTGCTTGTTCATCATTTTTGTAATTTCTCCTCTGTATGTTCCTTTTGAAAACGTTTAAGCCTTTTTGGTATTCTTTCACTTTTTCGATTTGTGGCTATTTTGTTAATCTCTCTGTATTCTGATGTATAATTGTTTCCTTGTTCTTTGACTTCTCTTTTGTTCTCCAGCATTTGTTTTGTTTTTTTGCTAAATTTTTCTGGCCTACCCTTCAGTTTCATGATATTATTTGCTCTTCCTTTTATTGTTTTCGTTTTTTTTTTTTTTTTTTTTAATTTGATTTGTCTCCGTGGGGTTTTATGGTGTCCTTCTCCAGTTTTTGTATTAATTTTATTGCGAATTCCATTCTTTGTGTTTTACTGGTAGGCATGAGTGCTTTCTTTTGGGGCCGGTTGAATTTCTTTGCTCTTTCTAGTCTGCTATTTATGGCTATTTTACATCTTGCCATTCTATGATCGCTGCCATGAGTTTGTTTCTGATGTGTCTATTTCTTTTTTATCTTTCCAACTCGGCTTGCCCATGTCCGCCATACGCCTCTTCTATCGGTATATTACTTAAGAAAATTCTGTTCTCCATCAGAAACTTAATATTTCTGTACAACTCCGAACGAGAAAAGTTGGTTACATAAAACCAAAATCCTAAATATTCAATTTGGTGAAACGAATATTTGAAAAGCTAAATAGCTGGTCTTTCGTTATCGATTCCCTCTAGTTGACAAAGTTTCACATCCGGTTTGACCCAATTGAATTATTAATGAAAATAAAACCGTTTGGCGCGGTCCACGTTACCGCAATCAAGGGCCGATTTTGACTCACTAATACAAATGATCGGAATTAAATCCGAGCATTCAATTGTAAATGAATTGTCGGTTTTTCTATTGCGGATCTAGATATTTTACTGCTAATTGGAATATAAATGAATAATAAAATACTTCATAAATACCTGTAAAATTTTTCACTCCAGGTGATGTAACTAGTATTCTTACAACTAATGACGTTGCACCATGTGGGCCAAGCCTGAGCCTTTCAGTTACGTATAAAAGACCATTACTTACGAATTGAGCCCCTTCACTTAGAGCGAGGAGCGCTGTCACCTGGGAACAAAATTAAAATTAAATTTCTTCAAGGAATAAAACTACTTCTAGATGTTCTTTTTTCAATTTTCCAACGCTAGTAGCAGTTACTTGCTTTTTCATCAGTTATCAAGCCAACTTTTACTTCGATTTTTATTATACGATAAAGATTAAAGTTCAAGCGATTCGAATCGTAGGTAAAGTAGTTCCCTTTTACCAAAGAAACACATCGACAAACATATCTTTTGAGTCGATATTTGTTGTAAGAAAACTTTATACTCATTGTTTTGAAATATAGTACCCTATACCTATCTTTTGTTAAAATAGAAAATAAATTGGTTTCATATACAAAGAAGTTATGGAAAATTCGACTTACATCAACACAGGAATTTATGTTATTTCCTATTTTTATATCCACTTCAAGCGTTTCACTAACAACAAGGCTCGGCGGTAAGTGAAAATCGACAGTCAAGGGTCTAAAAATGTAAAATTTTTCTTAAAGATTTTTCAAACACTACAGAAAATTATCCTTTACCTGAACACTTGCAATTTAATTGGGGCCGAGAATCTTAATCCTGCTTTGGATACAGTAAGAGCCCACACCGACCATCTTCCAGCTTCTTTGGGGGCGTTAATGGACAATTCTGTTGAAGAACTTTCAGAACTGTAAAGAAACATTTATTTTTTACTTTCTCTGGAATAATTATTATGCTTGAGAGTATCATGAAAAAGTTTGAACAAAGTTATCTAATCATAATTTAAACGGCAGATAAAATAGGACACCCAAAAAATTGCCTAATTTTGACTAGACGGTAATTTCCAACTTGGGTGATGCGCCTTGAACGTAAAAAAATAATAGAAAAGCATTGAAAGAACTATTTTTGAAGCCAACACAAATATTAATTTCTTGAATTACCTACATTAAGATAATAGAATAATAAAATGTCACAAATCTAGAAAAGCGGTGTATCGGCAGCCAACGAAAAAATGATTAGAAGTTGTTGCGATTGAAACTGTTGTGGAAACTCAGTCGCAAATACTTGAAGATTGAGAAAAGCCTCAAAAGTAACTAATGTGTCAATTACATTTTAAATGGCCTCTTCTAAAGTTTTGAGTATTGGATTCTAAACTTCCTTTTGGTAAATTTGATTCTAATGTGGCTAATGGGTTAAAGCAAAGTTTGTTATATTAACTTTTTAAAATTCAATTATGGTCTTTTCACAATAAAATATAAAAATTATTAGTAAACTTTTCTTTTTAAACCTTTCTCTGTGACTGTGCGAGTAAAGTATCTGTTTCACCCAGCCTTGAAGGGAGGGAATCATTCTAGAGCAATTTGCTTTAAAATAAATCTGGTAGTAGAGAAAACATTGTGTATATCTTTATTTCAGTCCTGACTCCACTTAGGAAATAGCTATTTATCTAGCAAGTGCGGAGAATTAATTCTTCCCGCACGAGTCTGCCGGAAAATGTATAATGTTGACGTCCTTCTCAATGATATTGGTCGATTATTTTAATGACATTGCATTATTTTTTTTTTATTTCAATATATGACAACCTCATTTCTTGAAAGAAGTTTACCTTCAAACCGTGTTTGCAATAAGTCAATGGTTTATCTTGCTGTGTGACATGTTGCGCCGCTCACATCAAAAAAAAAGCGTATGTGAAAAATCCCCAAACAATTCAAGAGTTGAAAGATGTGATTCGGCGCAATAGTCGTGAGACCACCGGAAATAATAATTAATAAACGATTATTAAGACCGAAAAGTTTCGGTAACAAGAGACCATTTAGAAGCCTATTACTCAAAAAGTCTCATTATTATTGGATAAGTTCATTCACTCATTCTTTTGAGGTCAGCAAGTTACTGGAATGCAAAATACCTAATCGCAAAATTGTCAAAGCATGTAAACCATTATTACCTCTAAAGTGCTTAATAAATAACTGAATAACGACGAGTTTCAGGAATTTAACGGCTTACGGTATGGTTGAATAGTTTCTCTTGTTAGACGGGAATTTTAATTAACCTTTTCTCTATTATCATAGAAAATTTGTAAAAGGAGAATATATTTTTCATTTCATGTAACGGGAGTCGAATCCCAGACTCTTGGATTTGGGTTGTATGGTGCTCACTTCTGGGGGCGTTAGCTATTTTCCTTCATGGTTTTTCACCCTCTTCTCTTGCAAAACTGAGCAAGGCATTGTCATATTAGATTTTCTGTTACTTGTTCGTAAATTCTCTGCTTTCCATATCGTTTTAAGGTGATAATTTTAGTTGGCAATGCCCAGTGAGCAGGCCGATGGATGTTCTAATTTGTCCTCTGTTCATGTCCAAAAGTTGTTGGTCCGATCCTGTTTCTGACTTGGATATGAAATTTTTGGCCATTCTCAGAGCCCGAGTTGATCCTCAATGAGCCGGCAGTTGGCTGATCGGTTTTTCCATGAGAATACTCTTCATTAAAAACATAATGACTCTGGGCCTTGGAAAAGTCTTGTAGCTCCTTGTTTTGCGAGAAAATTTATTTATTTATTTTTTATTCATTTATTGACGGGAAATCCCATAATAGCATACAGAACATCTTTATACAATAATTAGATGTTTGGACAACAAATTAGTTTACAACAAGAATTAAAATAGAAAAACAAAAAACTATTCAACAACATTACTTACAATAAAATTATTTCTTATTACTTAATATCACATTAACAATTAATAGGTACAGGGACTTTGTTTAAGGAGTTAAGCTCTCTTTTAAAGTCTTCACGAGTACTGAAAAAGTCCAGGGTATTAAACTCATTAGAGATTCGGTAAGCTCTGGAGATAAAGGTATTCGAACCATAGTTAGTCCGGTGGATCTTTTTTGAGAAGGTAGTGGAAGAGCGTGTGGCTCTTACTGGAGCATGAAGTCCAATTCTGGATAGAAGGTACAAGGAATCTTTGTGAGAGTTTAGTATTTGAAAAATGTTAATAAATCACTTTGATTTCGTCTGGCGGCTAAGGGTTGCAGGTTGTAGTATCGGTCATCATAGTTGTAGATATAATTGTCGGGAGGAGGAATACCTGTCTTGAAGGCCAAGTACAGGTGCAAATTTACGCTGCAACTGCTTCGAAGCGTTGATGTGGATAGAATACATAGGTACCGAGGAGCAGTACTTTAGAATGAGCCTTATCATTGTGCAGTAGAGAAGCCTGATGGAAGAGATGTTAGTGAAGTCCTTTGAACATCACTCAACAAAGCTCAGCAGTTTTAGAAACCTGGTAGCGATATCCGAAATGTGATTGGAGAAGCTTAACGTTTTATCAAAAATGACACCGAGATCACGTTATTGGGATACTGTTTCAAGTGTTTCATTGCTTATGTGGTTAGCAAATTGTATGGGGCTTCGACATTTGTAGAAAATTATAGCTTTACATTTAGAGGCAGAGAGTTACACACCATTCAGAAAGTCTATCCAAGTCAGATTATAGTTTGGCACAGTCTTCGTGGAAGGAGACTCGGGCGAATATCTTTAAGTTATCGGCAAAACACAGAAAGTCACTATTAATGAAACAAGAACCAATATCATTGATGAAAATACTGAATAGAAGGGGTCCCAGGTGAGATCCTTGTGGTAAACCTGAGGGGATGTCGATGGGCTGTGAGCAGAAGTTGATGATCTTGACTGTTTGGGTTCTATTCCCAAGGAAGTCGCTGATTCACGCAAGCAGGGAACCAGATATTCCAATTCTCTCAAGCCTCGCAAGTAGGGCGTTGTGGTTGACACGGTCGAAGGCTTAAGCAAAATCGGTATATAATTAGTAAACAGCCCCACCGCTTTCAAGAAACCTTGAGATTTTATCCTGGTACGTCAGAAGGTTAGTTACGGTTGAGCACTTTAGCCGGAAACTTGCTTGCTGTTCGATTAGGCTACGGTTGATGATAGGAGTTAAGAATTTAGTTACTATATTCTCAAAGACCTTAGGGATAGCGTTCAGGATACTGATAGGCCTGTATTTGGTAATGTCCATTTTGTCACCAGTCTTATGGATGGGCGAGATAAAACTACGCTTCTAAATCTCAGGAAATACTCCACTACTAAGTAATTCTTTGAATAAAATAAACAAAGGACGAGATAGTATAAAGCAACACCTGCTAAGCATCAGAGGGGAGATGATATCTGGGCCAGGTCCACGAAAGATCCGTAGCTTACACAGTTCCTCGTAAATAACTGAGATGAAGATTTCAAAGTCATGAATGTGAATGTTACTGTAAAAAATTCTGTGGCCAATAACACTTGTTTTGTCTGAGTATAGAGAATAAAAATATACACCGAAAAGATTAGCTAGTTCAGGTCCAGTTTTGGTGAATTTACCGTCATAAAACATGTAAGAAGGGAGTCCATAAGTCTGTTGTATAGCATTGACAAAGTTCCAGAAATGTTTTAGATTTTTATCCCTAAGCAATGACACCTCTAAGGATATGACATAATTTGTATAGCAATCTTTGAAAAGAGTCTTACAATGAGCCCGAAGGTGTGAAAATTCAACATAGTCAGCAGAGCAACCCGTCTGCTTCCAAGTTCTGTGGGCACTTTTCTTCTTAATTTTTAGGTCCTTCAGTTCAAGGGAGAACCATCGTGGAAATTAATGGCTTGAGAGCTTCTTCTTTGGTACACAACAATCGATAGCCGTATATTGAACGTCATATAAAACCCTGGTCATTTCCGTCACATCGGGGGCCCGGAGTAAGTCATCCTAGCGAACCATCCCAAGGTTATCGTTGAGGAGTGTGTAATCAGCAGACCCAAAATCATAATAGTACGCCTCAGGCTGGGGGACGCATGCATCATTGCAGTGAATTGACCTATTGCAGGTGGCAAAAAGTAAAGAAGGATGATATGCATCAATGGGGAGGATAAGTTATTAGCTAAGAGACAAGTATCCTTGGAGTCTTGGGTGAAAACCAGTTCAAGAAGAGTGCCACGAGCAAAAGAGAATGCATTTATATGGAACAGGTTGTGGTCAGCGTTTATATTGGAACATTCGGTGGCTTCACGCTCTGAGGTTAGGGAAGACTAAGCAGCAACAGCTGCAGAACTGAGACTCCTTTTTCATTGCTATCTATGCCCTGATGACCTCGTATCCACATCAAGGTAACTTCGTTACTCGCATGCAGTTGCTTTAGGTTTTTTTCTGCATTTCCAAACCTGCGAAGCCCCCTTTAGAGTTTCTAGAGCATTTAAAGCTTCTTCGCTATCTGGATGTGAAATTGCCCTATGGTAGGGCTTTTTTCAAGGCACAAGGAGTTTTTCCCACTGCTTAGGAAATTTTGAAGTTTGGTCCATGTATTCCCGAGTCAACTCCTTCTGTTAGCTTTGCTGTATCCCAGTGACGGGTTGTCCGCATGCAGCAGATTTATGTACTTCCATGATGTGCGGTCCTTTACTACCACCTTAAATGGAATGTGTAGTTAGGTTTCCGGGCTTAAGTCTTTCTGTCTGGAATAACCTGTATATAAGTTTTTTTTTTTTTTTCACACAAAGGTGAAGGGGAGGCATATTCATTTTGTTCATTAGTGCCTCTTGTAACAAAATCAATAGTAAAATCATAATGTCGGTTCAAGTTTATCTTTAGTGGGAATTAACTGCTTTTCTATAGATAGTTAGAATGTGACCCTAATCGAATTTACAAACACATACA